ACTTCGCAAAATGGCCTCAGTTCCGACAGCTTCGAATCCTTGTTGCGTCCATCGGCGAGAGCTTGAAAGTGATGGTATGGCTTATTCTCCTTGCTTTCAGCATCATTTACATCTTTAGCTTGATTCTGACCGAATTTGCCTGGCCGTCCTGCCAGGCAGACGATGGCCGAGAGTTGCTGTGCCAAAGGTTTGGCACCTTGACCTCCTCTATGATGACCTTGTATCAGATTCTCTACAACGGGCTTCTTTGGGGCATGCTGTGGGATGCCATGGAGCACTGGGATTGGTTCTTTTTGTCTTCGTTCCTGTTGTATGTCGCCTTTTCCATGATCATCCTTGGCAACATGACGGCAAGCTTCCTGTACGGCCTGCAGAAGAAGGTGAGCAAGAAAGAACGGGAAAATCTAATCCAATCTGAGATTGAGTCGAAAGAGGAGTTCTTGCAGCAAATGAGTGCTGTGTTTCAAGATTTTGATCAAAACGGCAATGGCGCCATCTCATGGACAGAATTTCAGATAGCTCTGGAGGATCAGCGTATGCATGCCTTCCTCTCTTCCTTGGAGTTGGACATCTCAGATGCGATAGGACTATTCCAGGTTCTGGACTCTGATGGAACAGGTGCCATTGAGCATGCGGAGTTCCTGCTCGGGTGCCTACGACTGAGAGGAGGTGCGAAAGCTATGGACATGGTGAGAGTCCAGATGGAGCAAGAATGGATGCACAACGCGATGCTACAGATGAGAACTACGTTGCATGACATGTTCAGAATTGTTGCCCTGGAGGGCCGCAAAGTGTCTGATCCAGGTTTGAGAGTGGATCATGCAAACAGCGAGGGGTCTGACAACGAGCAGTCAGAGTGGGGAGTGACTTCGCTGGCAATTCCTCGCATGAACGACAGCGCACCCCAGCTGAATGTGGAGCTGAGGACACAATTGCCAGCCGAAGAGAGGGCAGTTACACTGCAAGAGCTCAAGCGCATTTCCTCGGATGCGCTACTAGAAAGTCGACACGGATGGGCTGACCAGCGCAACGGCGAGCGGGTTGCAACCACGGCTTTGAATCTTTATCATTTTAGTTATTATCACATCCTGCCCAAGACAGTGCTGCCTGGGAAGCTTCTACTCAAGCTCCACTGGAGTGCTTCTGGTAGCGGCAGCATACCCAGGAAAGGCCAGCAGGTCTCTCAAGTTGATGGGCGAGCGGCCTTGCCAGGTGCTGTGGGCATCATAATGCATGCAGAGGTCTCGCCGGAGGGTGAGGTGAATGGTGCACTGACACTATACATCCGCTTGACTAGGGGGCGTTTCACCACAAATGTCGATGATGGTAACATATTTGTCGATGAAGTCGATTATGGAATGCCACAGGAAGTACGTTGCCAAAACTCTTTCAGCTACAAGGAGCTTTTGTCCTCAGCGCCGTGTCGGCCAACGTGGTATTGCCAGAGCCTTGATTTTTCCCTGTCGTGCCTTGTGTGACAAAACAGTCAGCGTTCGGTCCGCCTTCTGTCTAAAGCAACCAAGGTTCACACTGGTGGGGAGAACCGATAGTTTCATTTGTTAACTGCTGCCAACGCCATGCTCACCTTCGGCGCTTGGAGGACTCAGAGGCAACCTATTGGGTGTGTGGCTATGCAAATCGGCAGCATGAGCTCGAGCTTGAGATCGGTGCCGACGACATTGCGGCATCTTCATTTTATCGCGCTCTGCAAATTGCTAGTGGCTTGTTGCTTATCCTCGACAAGGAGGCCAAACCATTTTCCAGGACACCGAAATCAAAGGCTAAGGCCATGAGCCATTTCGCAGGGTCTGACGAGAACATCCCCTTTGTTTTTGTTCAGATCCCCATTCATCACCGTCTTATTTGTGTCCAGCTTTTGTTCCTTGCATTTCCTTACATTGCAGTGCCCCCTGCTTCAGACAGAAACCGCTGTCACTTGCTCGCCGTTTTCTGCCAACGAGGCAAGTAGACATTGTCACTTAACGCGGTTTTGCGAACAAGCTTTGCCAAATTTCGACGTCTCATGGGCTTCGGGAGAGCAAAGCCTTAGCCTTGACACTACATGCCAAATTCAAGCCTGATTGCATGTAACGTTTTGCAAGCTCTGTTTTGACAATAGCATCGCTCCTTGCCTGTCCCCGCCTTCCAAAGCAGATCATATCTCCCCACAGTTTGCCATGTCGAGCACGCAGTGATGTTGGAAGGATCTGGTGCGACTACGAGCTTTACGCAGCGATTATGGATGTAGATAAAGAGTTGGACATCGTCACCATGTCGACCTCCAGTCGCAGGCATCAAGCATCTGCGCAGATGCTGAGCAAAAACCTTCTTGCGGGCGAGTCGGCCGTGGCAAAGTCTGTGCGCGAGCAAAGCTTTCCGCTGTCCTTGCTCCAGCACGGCCTGCAAGTTTGCCTAGAGGATGGCGAGGCAACCGTGGAGAAGGACAAGATGACCATATTGTCAGCCATGGCCAACCAGACGGACTTGACAAGCGAGGAAGGCCAACGCTACTTGCGCGAAAACCTCAAACGAGCAAATGATACCCTGCACTCAACCTTTGCGATTTTGGCTTGGCCGCAGGCCATGCAGAGAGGACATATGTTAGACTGTAGCATGACTGAATGATGGGTTCGAAGGAAGCTCTGCTAGCCTCTGTCATGTCAGGACTTCTGCAGGATTTCAATCAGGATGGTGCATCGTCGACCAAGCTCAAGCTAGCGGAAGTCTTGCTTAAAGATACTGGCCGCGAATCCTTGGAGCTTAGCCTGGCGCACTTTCAGGATCCTTGAGTCAGGGCGGAACAGTTTACTCAATCAAGCATGGGCCTCGGTTTGGGTGATGCCCAAGCATGTTGGGAAAGCACTTAAGCTGGCAGGACACCTGCGTGGACTCCACGATGAAGATTTTAGCTGGAGGCCTGCCGCCGAACCTCAGAGAGCTCAGGCTCAGCTTTGAAGGTTGCAACCGTCTTACCGACGCATCACTCTCAAGTCTTGGGAATCTTGGCTGCAGCATGCTGCAGCGTTTTGCTTTTACAGCTTGCTTTGTCTGAATCTCTTGAAAAAAAGATCAGGTCCAAGTTTGGCAGCGAGCTGAAGATGCTCTACTTGGACTTCATTGGATGCAGCAAGCTTACGGACACTGGATTGATCGCCCTTGCCGCCAGTCTTCCAAGCGGCTTGGAGGAGCTCGAGCTTCACTTTGCGGGCTGCTCTGGCATAAGTTCCGCCGGCATCGCTGCCCTGCGGGCAAAGCTTCCGCGAGCTCTGCAGTCTTTCAATGCAACCTTCAAAGGCACCGGCATCAACAGAAATTTCTCTAGCAAGACAGAGTTCCTGTCTGGATGATGGCAAGAGGCGACAAGAAAGGGTTCCTCATGGCTCCGGCTTTACTTTCGTTGCCACCTGACGAGCTCTGCAAAAGGGATGCAAGATCCTCATGCGCAGCTACCCATGTGCAGCTCCAAAACAGCTGAATGGCTGTGTTTCAGCTTGTTTTGCGCAGCCAACAGTTGAAACTCGAGGCTGTGCAAACCTTTCTTCTTTGCATGCGTTCAGGCTACAAGGCCTCTGTACAAACTAGCTGCCCATGCTCTTTCTTTTTTGGCAGTTCCTTGCCGTGCTGGCACAACCAGTTGGAGCGCAACACTCCTGTCCCCACGCAGACAAGGGCCTTGATCATCTCTAGTCTCCAAGATGGACATGTTGGCTAGCTGCTATGGCGTGTCATGGTAATCATCCATGCCTCTGCAGGCCAATACTGCTCATGGCGCCGGTGCCGGTGATCAGAAGATCAGAGGCCACTTGATTGAGAGAAAGCTTGCAAAGATAGCTTGGACAACTTGGGCAAGCATGAGGACGTTCCGTCGGAGGCAAGACAAAATGCCTGGAGGACAGTGCTTTCATTGTCGAATTCTGCCGGATAAATCGAAGATAGGCCAGCCACAATTGATTGTCAGCTAGACAGCGCTCCCTGTGCCTCAAATTCAACTGATGGCCATTTGCATAGAAAGCTTCCTTGGCTGGATCTTCTCGATGAGCTGAGGGCTGCGGAACTAACGGTCGGCCGTGTGCTACCACATGTTCTCAGGCTGCATTGCTTAAGCACTTGGAGGCTTTGTGTCTCAGTTTGTCGCGCCCAAAATGTAGGAGGCAAAAGCTCAAGTCCTGTCCTGAGCTGTTGCAGGGGTAGACGGTGCTGACAGCAGGACGCACCAGGTATTTGTGACTTGGTATGGCTTGGTGTGGCTTGGCTACCAGGCCCGGGCTGGACACGTTGCTGAGCCCCAGGCGCATCGACAGGTGCGCTGCCTGTGTTGAGCTGCAAGAAGCAGCGGCCGACTTGAAGCACATGGAATCGTGAAAAACCTCATGACTTCAGGGCGCACAGAACCGGCAAATCCTTGCTGTAGCTGGCCGGGCTTGGCCTAAACCTCCGTGCACTCCACAATTGCAACACGCCACTCAAGCAAGTCTCTGTGTCGGTATGGACTTTTTGTGGCAGGTTTGGCAGAAGAGAGCCCAGCTGCTGTGGATGAATCCCAAGTGAGGCGGCCCCGGAATTCGACTTAAGCCTGTCCAGGTCTTGGGCAGCATGTATGCACAGTCGTTGAATTTCTGTCAACCTGCAAGTCAGGTTTGGCTTGTTTGCTTAAGGCAAGGTCTTTATGTGTTATTGTTCTGGAGAACTGAATCCGGTTCCACGGAGCAGGCCGAAGATGGTGACAATTACCCATACGCATGTGCCGCTGGTTTAGCCGGTGTGCATGCCCTAACGGCTTGCCCATGTCCGCAACAGACATGGGGCGTGCGTGTGAGCAACCGAAATCGGTTGCACCACGTCATTTACAGTTTGGCTGCGCAGTCGCGTCGGACACCTTGTTGCTTTGGGCAGCTCAGGTTGAATTAAAAGCAGTCTCTTGTGGCTATCCGAGTGTAGGTGTATCTGTGAAGAGTGTACATCAAGAATGATGCATTTAATTAGCTGGCATGGAATTGGAGGTCCCAGCAGTCGGGTGAAGAGGACGACATGGATCACCTTACCTTTTTAGGCAAGGAAATGGAGGTCACACAGCCAGGTGTTGCCGATGCTATTTCTGGTGAGGCTCTGCCTTGTTCACAAGACGCGTGCCCTTGAGATTTGCGTAGCAGTGAACATGTTGGGCATGAGCGGTCTCATACTGATTCTGTGCAGGTATCTGGGCCGCGTGTGGTTCTCTGCACACCTTCGCTTTGGCCTCAGAAAACATGTTATCAGTGAAGAGAGATGTGCGCTGCACAGCAGAAGATCTCAAGAGCTATTCCGCCGGCCTTTGCCAACACTCACCTCACCTGCCCAATTTGGTCTTCGGAGTCATCAGTGGGGGCGGACGGAAGGCGCAAACTCAGACCTTGCCTAAAAGCCGCATCAGCACCAGAACGCCAATTCGATCAGCCCTGCACAAAGGTGAACTATCGAGCACTTGGCATGCCGATTTTTTATCGACTGACTAAAAATATGCAGATCAACAACCACAGACTGACACGCAAGACAATGCCACATCTCTAAAACTCTTGATCGTGAGCAATGCAAATAAAAAATGACGACAGACTTTCCAGCCTAAGCCCTGTCACTGCTGACAGTTTGTGGATGCGCTGCACCTTTTCACTGACAGGTTTTAATGTGTTTATGCTGCATGTTGTTCCTTTCAGGGACGGGTGGATTTTGCTGGCAGGTTGAACCCGCCAGGATATCTAATTTGAAGCTAAACCCACAGCCTGGGGGCCTGGGTGCCTTCTTTTCCGCAGCGGTAGCAACTCCCGCTACTAGCCGGAGTTTCAGGATGTTGCAGGGAAGCCGGCCTTGTACATGAGAAAGCTTTAGAGTTATGTCCTTCTGTGATTGCGACCTTCGGGGGTGTGCATATCAGTGCTGAAGGCTTTCCTGCATTTGGTCATGTTTACACGGGTCGTATGTGCTGTGCATTGCGAGCTTCAGGCTTCAATCAAAACGTCACAAGTCGAAAGATTTTTTACTTAAATCATGCAGGGCGGGTAGGGTCGTGTAGCTGAAAAATAGATGTGGCGGCAATGGCCGCGGCCAACCACGGCTTTCGTGTACCGCAAAATCCAACGACAAGCTTCACCTCCAGAGAGTCTTGCTGCTGTCATGTTTTAGGCCGGCCAGCGCTGGGAAGGAAACGGTTGCTGTGTTGCCCCTAGCTCCGTAACTATTCGTCGCTTTGTCACATGTAATTTGGTTGTGTGCAGGTGCAGCCAGAGTCAAGCCAGACTGGCTCCGTGAAAGTGAAGGGCAAGTATCGGAAGGCCAGTGCTAGCGTGCGCTGTTCAAATCCAGAAGCATCTCGCAGCTGCTCATGCAACAGCCAGGTCATAGACGGGACTCCATTTGAGTGCTATGGCGCTCATACAGATGCACCTCGAGCACGTTTTGCAAACTGACAGGCAGGAGGCCAGCTCCAGTCTGTGCCAGCTGTCAGGCCTATCCCTGCTGCTACTTGACCGCGGCTTGCGCAATAGGCAGTTTGCCAAGAGACGGCCTGCTCAAACACTTGTGCTACTCACCTGGCGCAGGTGCCGAGAGGAAAGAGTCCCCCAGACTCGTTTGATCTCGTTTGCACCTATTCTGGTAACTGGGGATCTCACTGCTGGCATTCCTCCTCAGATTGTAGAGCAGGAAAGGTTTACGTTTGCGCCGAATGGTTTGTGGCAATGACAGTAGGCAAAAGGGTGACCACCAAAGCTGGGTAATGCCTCCACTCCATTGCTCTGCTGTGGACAAGGGAAACACGCGTTGCTTCGGTCGAGGGTCGCGACGGAAAAGTAGAAGAGCATGTGCAACCTGCAGTGCAACCGCTACGGGGCTGTCGATGAATAGGCAGAACATGAAGGAGAACAAATTCAAGACAGATTACGTTGATCTCCTGGGAACGTCTGGCCTGCTTCTGCGCTATTTATGCGTGACCTGCACCTCGCGCACTTGCAATCCACTTTCAGTCGGCAAAATTTGGCTAAATTCGGCTAAATATTGTGTCGCTGTCCACTCGTTTTAATGGGCTTACAACACGTAATCGGCGAGTCTAAGGCTGTCTCAAGTGGTGCCAGGATGGATTGCTTTCTGGAACGGTTCGAAGCGGCTGTGCAGGCTTGTTTCCGCATTTGTTGCAAGACCCTTGCAGGCCCCACACTGAATTGAGTGATTCGCCACAGGATTATCGCAGCGGAGCTGGAAGAAAAGACAAGGCCCCTGCCAAGAGGGCGCCTCAGAAGCCTGACCATGTTTTGTTTGCATGTCTTTGCCTCGAACTCAATGGTCCCTCAAAGCATCCCAGGCCTGTGCTCGGAAGCTGAGCGGCCACGGCAAAATGGCCAATCACGCGTCAGCAAGCTGCACAACCAAGTGTGGTTGCATGCTGTCTTTTCAGCGATTTGCAACGCAATCAACTTGCTATCGAGCACGGATTGCTCAGCATTTTGACAGCTCTTGGACCGCAAATTGCATTCCCTGGCTCCAGCAGGGCTGAGCGCGCTACAGCGCTGTAGCCAGTCTGCAGCCCAATGAGAGCCGCTCAACGAAGACAGGGCTGAGCCGTGGTTTGGAAAGCACAAAGAAACACACCGCTTGCATGGCCAGCAACGTCCTTGGACCAAGGCCAGATAGCTATGGGCAGCCCAGATGGAGAATCACCAGCTCGGAAATCACCTGCCAGTAAGGCTGTTGATATTTTGTTTGTGGCGTGCTGCCTTGCCTTGAGGGGGCACCTATGTTGTCAGGCCGTTGCTGCTGCAGTGGAGGACTTGGGGTTTGGGTTGTATCAGCCCCTTGGCTGACATCATCTCTGCGCTGATGAGCATGACATGAGTCTTACGGGGGGCCCTTGTCTCGGCTCTGAGCTCAGGCTGATCGTCGAAACCTCAGCAACTTTCCACATCCTTCCGCATCCTTCCTCATCCTCGCTCCCGTTGCTTAGCCGCTCTTCCTCACTGGCGGCATCTTCTTGGCGGAGGGTGCAGAGATGCTTGTGATGGGCTGGTCTCTCAGACATGATTGCCTGCCCCTAGGATGCAGTCAGACGCATTCCGGCAGGCTCCATAACCTCCTTGCTTCACCGCCATTGGGAGCTTAACCCTGCAGTCCGCGGTGGGATGGTTTCGATTGTTCCCTGGCGTTAAGCCTTGCTTGCCTTGCAAGTTGGGTTTGCAAATAACCTATGATACCTCAGCATGGGACTTTTGCCGTGTCTCAGGTATTCATTGGCTTCTCGGTGTCATGCTCGGAGAATACACATAGGTCTAGAGGCAGGGCGTGCGTTAGCATCTGGTCACCAAGGTCGGCAACTTCTTCTCGGGTCAAATCGGCGACAGATTTGGCCGACGCGTGTCCATCTTGCTAGCGCCGCGCTCTCAACCCATGGCACGCTGCAAATGCAAAACCTTAGAAGGTGAGAAACGCGCCTCTCCTATAGGTATGCCATGATTGCCTTTTTTGGCTTCGCTACGGCATGCTCGCAGGGGTGCTGCGCTTGGATGCGCATTATGCCGTGGAGACTGCAATGTGGGTTATTGTAGGTTGATGCCATGAGGCCGTGCTTGATGATCTTTCTTCGCTTCTTCGTTGGCGCAGGAATGTACCCAGCACCAGTCAGTAGACAGACAGGGAGCGCTCGGCATCGACAGGCTGTGGGATCGGTTTTCCGGCTGCTTACTCCCTCATGCCTGAGGCCGCCAAGCTGGGCAAGCCCAAAAATGCGATGAGGTTCTGCTGAATTGAGAGGTCGCACCTTCCGGGTGGCGAAGCAGTCTCAGCACGCTGATGATTGGCTTCATGCCGTTGGGGGAGCTCATCGGTTCCCTTGTGGTGGTTGCCTTGGTGTTTTCAAAGCCGCGCGCTGTGTCGGTGGGGAGTTTGACGGGGGGAGCGGGTGCTTGACCTGCTCTTTAGTGCGCGGGCTAACGCAAAAGTGGGCAGCGAGAACTTCACGCGGCAGGTGAGAGGTAAACGCATGCATCGCGACAGCTTAGGCCATTCTCCCATGCTCTTCACTCCCCGTAGTTCAGTTGATTCACCGTGCTCACAGGGCCTAGAACATTCGGACCTCTGAGAATGTGTGTTCTCTCCCCAATGCATTCTGAATACTATCCGGTCAGATGTGCTCCGGCCCTGGGGCGCTGCTTCTTGTGGCAGAGCACAAAGGTGTGGATGCTAAGCCGCGAAGACTCTGCCCCATGTATGCAGATCGCCCTCGCCACGCTGACATTCAAATCCTAGTGCTTCTGAATTAGCCAGTGGCGTGCTGGTGCTTTTGGCTTTTTGTTGACTTGTTTTCTCGAGCGTTCTAGTGGCGGTGCTCTTGTCAGTGCATGACAGAGGGCCATCAGGGTGCTTGTCGCGATGCTGGAAGTTGCTTTGGTCATCACGCGCTCACCATGCCGTCGAACCTGTTTTGAAATGTTCAAAGAGTTTCAAAGGTCCTAATGGTCGACCCAGAGCTGGACAATTCTGCACGTGGCATTGAGCTCACACAGAGTAGATCGGCAATGCGTTGACATGCGGCCGCGGCTGGCAGGTTGCAGCTTTGATGTGTACTACCCATCAAGGGCTCTCATGGAGCTGGGGGCCCAGGAGACGACTTAAAGACATTGTCCCGAAAAACCATCAAGCAAACGAAGGCCGGAGCTGTGCGCATGGAAGACGCTTTGTGAGATGAGTGCTGCTCACCTGGATGGTGCACTTACTCATGCCCAGAGATGGGCATCTCTGGCGTGATTTTCTCGCCTGATTGTAAGGCCATCCCCGCATTCTGCTTTCTAATCTTGGCACTAGCCTCGCCAGTGCTGTGTTTTGGTCATTGTTCTCCTACAATCTGCCCCCTCCCAGGCCTGCAGATTTATGGATGAATCGCCGCACTTTCTTGCAAACTGCGGGCGATATGAGGAGTGCGAGGAGGTTGCGCCACTTAAAACTGGGTAGCTAGCGGTAATCAACCTTAAGAACACTTGGGAGAGCAGCGGAAGTCAGCCCCTGTTACAGGTCCTACGGCGGATGGCGCAGACCTCAATCATGGAAAAACCAAGTTGGCCCAGGGCCCAGGACGAATGGCATCTTTTCTGCAGCAGGCCAAACTGAATGGCTCCGAGCTGGATGTGGAGAAGCTCCGTAGCTGACCCGAGATCTTAGGTGTTTGTACATGCCCCTAGCAAGCCATTCTGGCATGAGTCAGGTCTTGCCTTCGGTGCGTTAGGCGAAAGCGAAGGCCCGGGATATAGGACTCTTGCGACCAGCTGATGCCGGCTATTCGATGTGTGATGAGAGGGGAGCCAAGCCCCACATCGCCCTCACGGTCATACTCCTTCCGGGATGTTGTGGCAGAGCTGCCTGGGCCATGGAGGGAAGAATTGGACTTGGGCCTGATTTCCTATCCCCTGGCAAGTTGAAAAGGATCATGTACTTGCAGCGATTTGTGCTTGTGATTTTGTGGGTAGGGTATGGGGCGGTCATTGTCATGTCACTCATGTCACTTGTGAGTGCCGACCCCTTGCATTGCATGCCTGGCGGTAAGTTGTTCTGGAGCCTTCTTGCCGGCGGTCTCCTTCATGTGCCTCGCTCATGTGGCCAAGGAGAGTCAGTGGCATTTGAAGACTGGCCTGACGTGACTGGAGTCTTGTGGTGATGCTTTTGCAGGACTTCAGCGTCTTTGGCCTCTCATACATGCTTCCCCAGTGCCCCATGCTCTCCAGTGATTCTGCCACTGAAGCTTGCAGAGGTTCAGTGCACAACTTCGTTGAGGCATGTCTCCAGACCTCAGGTATTTCGTATTTCTGAAGAACTTGGTGGCCGGTGACTTTGCATTTGGGTTCCCATTGCGTGGCAGCAACTCTTGTCAAGCGCAGGCCGGACTTGAGTTGCTGGTGGCTGCAAGCTCGGAACATGACTCATGCTGACTTGTAGCGTGGCGTAGCCCTGATGCACATGCTGATAGGTAGCCACCCTCGCGCTGCCGGGTGTTGTCCTGACCTACTTCTGTTGCAGGATTCCAGGAGTACGCCCCACAGCTGGTGCCTCTTCTTTTGTTGGATATCTCTGGCTGCTGTGCTTGGCCACCTAAGCTTAAATGCTGTGAGTGGAGGTCTCCTTGGTATACTGGATGTCTGGCAGCGGTGCGCTTTGTGCCTTGGCTCTTGGTGGCACAAGTTGCGTCTCAGAGGCATTTGCACAGAGCAGGTAGCTTTTTTGGGTTGGGAATGCTTCGAGTTGCTCCTGACAGCTCGGCCTCGGACTCAGCGAGGTCCGTCAAGTAAATGTTGTAGAATAGAAGCTCAGTACAGGTGGGTACTTTACAGGGGTGCAGCGTTAAATTATAGGATGTTATGGGAGATCATGTTGGACCAACCACTTTTGGAACTATAGCTACCCACATGATGTCCGGCCCATGCTATGACAAGGCTGCCCCGGCGGCCTACATGGTGAAGCTGCTTGCAATGCTGGGGACCAAGCTGTAAATGGCGTTCCATTCCAGATGCCGCCTCTGTAGCAGGGCCTACTTTGTCTTCACCGTTTCCTACACAACTGCAGCTTTTCCTGCACGTATCCGCCAGACAGCGGTCATGCGCTCGGACGGGTTTTGGCCATGTTCACGCAGGTGAAATCTTGAACCTTGTCAGGTGGGCATTTGCACTGCAGCCGGTCGCATGGGATCCATTAGTGCTTTGGCTGTCCCTCTTCGCAAATTCCAGCAAGCTTGGCATGCAAGTGCGACACTCAGGTGCGCCCCTCGTCTTTGAGCTCAGCAAAGAAGTCACTGGCAGCTTTGATTTCTTTGTAGGTTGGGCGCATTACAAGGTAGATAAGAAATCCTGCTACTCGTAGTGGCAGGATGTCTCATGACGTTGATGGCAACGGTGGCCTTGCTGGCTCCAGTGGTTCTGCCAAAATGGGGCCAAGCAGAAGAAGCGCGACTCTTGATTTGAGTTGATTCCAATCCAGCTAAATCAAATCCAAATTAGCCGCGCTTTGGGTACATAATACAGTACAGTTCTCGATGCCATGCATCATGGAGTTGACAGTTGGCTTGGAATCCCTCACGGTGACCTCGTCATTTGATCAGCAAGTTGCTGTGTTCTTGCAGGCGGTGGCTCTTGTGGACTCAGGAAAGAGCTCGAAGGAGCCTGCCAGGTCGTGTCATTGGCGATATACTGCTACTCTGCAACCAGCAGCAGATAAATGAAGAAGGTAGGCTCAGGCCTATATAGCGTGCAGGGAAGTTCATCCAATCTACTGCGTGGGGAGGTGTAGGGAACAGCCAGCCTGCTTCACGACAGGAGGACTACGCATCATGCAAGAGCTGTCCCTGAAATTTATGTGCATTGAGCTGGTGAAGTCTGGGGATCAGACTCTGCTGCAGAAAAATGGTTAGGAAAAAAATGCTGGTGCTTTGTGCATGCGTGAAGGTTTTAAAAAGACAGATGGAGACTCCACCGTGTAGATTAAAGGGGTTCAAGCTTAGATTTCAAGCTCAAGAGACGCCAGTGTACCTGAGATCAAGCGCCTCTGCAGGGGAAGGGACCCTGAATAAAGAAGGCTGGACCAGTAGGGGATGCCCTGTGGGAGGTGGTGTTTATTTGTAACCGTAAGCTTCCCGGTGTCAGTAGACTAGCTGGCGAGGCGGGGTCGAACAGACTGGAGGTCAAGCTAGATGGTCCCAGCCGCCACCAGAAGGGAAGCAAAGAACCAGCACAACGCAAGATCAAGGTCCAAGGCAGAAGCAAGAAGCGGATCAGCTTTCAAAACATCCACAGGGGACCCCAAGCTCGGCCCCGGCTTGGGAAACAAGATTTAGCGGGAGGCCTATGGCCTAAGCGAGTTGGGTACTTTAATCTTAGCATGAGGGAGAAAAGTTGGATGTTAGCCCCGCCACCAGGTGGAGAAGGAGGGAAGGCGCAATGAGACCATTCCAGTGAGGATTAAGATGTGTGGAGTTGCATTTCTGTAGAGAGATTGTGATCATACAGTCAAGGCTCCCCGGCAGCGACACCACAAGGGGACAGAGGGATTAGGATGTGATCCTAGCATAGCTTTGGAGCTGTAGCATGCCATTTAAAGACTAGACTCTATGATGAATGAATGCCGAAAGTGATGATCACCCAAATGATCCATAAGATGGTTACAAAGCTATCATGTAAGCTGATCTCCATCCGCTAGCACCCAACAAATCTTACAGTCATTAGAGAAGAACGATGAGAATAATGATTAGTTGCCAAAAACGAAGAGGAGTAGCACACATGCATGCGCTGGGCAGAGTTTCTTGAACGGGCATGTGCTTTGTTTGAAATTTAGGCCCAAGGTGTGCTCCTTGGGCCGGAAACGACGGCTTCGGCAGCGCGCAAGAAAGACCCATGGCTTTAGCAACATATGCCTCCTCAAGCTGCACAATGGCCATTCCCGGACGCCTGCGCAGGCTCGTTTTCTGTCTAAGTGCGCTATGGCTGGCCAGTGCAGGTTCCAGAGCTTTTGTTCCAGAAAGCGAGCAGATTCCAAGGGCCAGCAGCATCGGTGCTACTGAGGCCTCAGTGGCAGCCCTTTTCGTTGCCGCACTTTCACCTGAGGTAGCACAGGCTCAGGAAGCCGATGATGGTAACACAAGCTGGGGCTTCAATCCCTTCGTGGTCATTGTGCCTGGAGGAGTGCTCTACCTGCTTAACTGGGTTTTCAGCTTGAAGCCAGAAATGGATGCAGATGCAGACGGGTACAAGTCCACCACGTTGCGAGGGCGGGATTCGGAGGAAAATCTGCAGCGGAGGATTGCAGAAATGGAAGCTCGTCTTGCGTTGGAGGAGAAAGAAAGGCAGGCGCTGATAGCCGGCAGAGCCACTTCCACGCGTCAAGAGGATGAGCTAGACGATGATTTGTTCAGCTCCGACCTGGATGCCCAATTGAGGGCAGCGAACAAAAACGGATAAGTTTGCTTTATTGGCGCAGAGGTTCCTAAAGGGAACGCACATCTCTTGCTTGGAGCAGGAGAAGTCCAAAGGTGAAGTGCACGCCTGATGGAAAGCGGACCGCCGGCTGACAACATTATCCAGATTTTTAGTTCCGCAAGGCTGAAGAATCCGCTGCAACAGTGCAACTTCCACAATCCGTTGGCTTTTCTAGTTTTCCGAGCTCCAAGCAAAAAGGGGCTCATCGGCTAAAGTGTCAGACGACCCGTGCGCACCCTTCCGGTGAAACCCAGCCCAGAGCAACGCTTTATGTGGCAGCACTGCATGGTGTGTAGGATGGCCACAGTGCTTGTCAAATGTTTGCGCGCCCGCGGTATGCTCAACTTGGCTTTCCGTGAAGTTGTTAAATGCTTGGGGCAGTTGCTTAGAGAAGGCAGTATAATACTTGAATCAAAGCCGCCAAGTGCAAAACACATGTCTTCCGTAAAGGGATCAGGCCTTGCGACTGTGGTGTTCAACCATGCATCCAGACATACTAGAGGCTTCCTGCTTGTCGTAAGTCATGTGGAGGCCTTCGGCGCCTGCTATGGTATCCATCAAGTCCGAGAAGGAAGCAGGCTGGGCGGCCGGCTGTGAAGCCTGGGGGATTCGCTGCTGCCTAGATCGACCTAGGTTGGTTGTGCCTTATAGTTTCATTTCACTGCCCCACGCTGCGCACGTGCAGGTGTCCGCAGTCGGCCGAAAACAGGAGTCAAGGAGCCTCCGTCAAGGTGGTTGCGTCATGCTTTTGGCTTGGTTGTGTCCATGATGAGGCAATCCTCTTGACAACGGTGGCGTTCATTCTGGGACCGGTTGGTCATGAAAGGGGCACCGCCCTCAACCAGCCTAGGTCTACGCCTCTCACCGCTTGGATTTCGGAGCAGCTTCTGGTCTCCTGCTCTTTATTCGTCTTAGGTGATCTATCTTTTGTGGCATCTCCTCAAATAGTCGTTGCCCAAGTCTGAAACATCGCTTCGGAATGCTCGTCGAGCCGTCTTGATGCTTCATGCTGCCGATATGACATCGAAGATGTTGCTCAGCTGAGGTGACGCGAGTGGGGTCACGCAGCCGCCGCATGCAAGAGTTTTTCGAGCATATGGCCGTCAATGAGCAAGATGAGTTTGGGGCTTCGGCAGGTTTTTCCGGTGATGAAGGCCAACTGATGCCTAATGGATGTTTGATTGCCTGTGAAGAGACAGTCTGCTTCTCACTCCAAGCTTTTTTGAGCAGGAGACGAAGAGTTCTTTGGCGAAGAAGAGCCAGAAGCCAGTGGAGAGCTGGCGCAGCTAGTTTCTGTTTGTGCCTGAGTAGTAGCATTTGCGAGCAGGTGCTTTCCACATCCAACATGTCACTAGCAAGTGTCAAGGATCCAGGACCGGATAGTACCGCGCTAGGGAAGCCGATGCCGCGCGCTTGGATGAATGTGGACCAGATCTAATCATTAGTGTGGCTATGCTGCTATGCGTCGGACAGCTGGACTGATTACGCGAGGGAGCGAGTGTCAGCTTGTGTAGATGCTGAGGAAGGCTGATGTTGCTCGTCAGAGATTGTGGAACATGCCCAAGGATGCTGCAAGCTTACTTTGCACATCTTGGCACGCAGATTGAGATGAATCACTCTTCACGCAGGTGGCCCCATACCTGGAGGTAGGGAGTGTCATGCACTCAACAGGACCGAGAAGCCAGATTTTTGGCAAAGAAACAAAGATTTCCATTCAAGGTCACTTACCAGAACAAGGAGAAGCTAAATCGAACACGAGGTTTGGTCGTCATGAAGGCCCGTCGATCCAAGCTTCCTAACCTTTGGAGCTTCTTTGGGGATGTGATTACCAGCGCGCCGTTGCCAGAACAAGTCTTCAGAACACGTGATTCTGCCAAGCACGAAGTGCAAAGCACACTTGGCGTGAATTGGATTTGAGTTGTCAGGCCAAGAACTCGCAGGTGCCTTCGCTGCAGCTTAGGGTGGAGTTACGGGGCCTCGCACACAAAGTGGAATGTCTGGTTCATCGGCGGAATGGCCAGCAGCGCCGAAAGTGCAGCCAGAATACATCAATGATTGTCCATGACTTCGCAGGTCATGCTGGAGAAGTCAGAGAAGATCATCAAGCAGGGCACCTTATCGAAAATTCGCATGCGGAGGCCAGGTTGGTCGTGGAGACGGGGCATGGCAAGGGGAAATGACTGTTACTGGCCTCGCCCTTCTGGACCTGACATGGCGCTTGACAGTCTGCGTAAGATATGTTGATTGGGCTGCACTTTCTGCGGCATTAGTCCTAGGTTGCAGCGGCCGTCGACGGTCTCATGAACTATCAGTAGCCGCTTTCAAACACATGATGTTCGTCTGACAGGCTTATGAGACATGGCCGTGGCGAATTCGGCAGAGACAATGCCTTGCAGTGGAATCGTGGAGGCTGAGCTTTTTCCCTGCCCAGGTTGTAGACAGACGAACTCCACCGCGGCAAGCAAGCAACACCAGAAGATGAAATCATTAATCAAACCCTGCATTCAGGACTTAAACGCAAACAAGCCCTGGTATAGTCTAGTGAGTCGAGTGCTGGGTATAGTGGCAGACCCTCAATTCATTGAATCATGGCTAGGCCCGAATAGGGAGCGGTCTTCAAGAGAAGAATAAAGCATTGACTGACCCAACCACGAAGAGGACGCCGAGCTTTTCGGATGCGTTGCAGACTCAGTTGTTGCTCCAAGTCGCACGGTGGCATTTCCGCCAGCCACGTGCACGGGCCGATCTGACAGGCAGCGGTATGAAGGACTTGCGCTATGCTGACGATTTGGAGAGGTCTCAGCGCCGAAAGAACGACATGAGGCGCCCAAAGAACTGCATCAAGGGATGGTTGAGTTTACATTTATCAACATGAACAAGTTACTAGTTGCATGGGGTCTTGCTTGTCAGCACACAGGCCTGTCACCAGACGGTCTACAATAAGCCTTGGTCTACTCCTAGTGGTGATAGATAGTGACAGCCTTCATGCCGACACGACCGACGCCCGCTTTGCCAACCCCGCATGATGCGCGTGCTGCTTGGATTGGCGAGAAAACTCGGGAAGCCAAGCGCAGGGATTAGGTAGCAGGCTTGAGAAGCCGGGTTCTGTGCCACTTGGTCTAGCTGCAGGGCTGAAATCTATTGTTCCGCCATGTCAGCATCTTCGATGGACAACTTGACGCAATGTCAACGATTACTTGGTCGATGGCCTGCGAAGGCTTCGAGCGAAAACAAGAACAACACCTTCTTAGAAGCGTCAAAGCGCAACTATACAGGTGCGGCCGTGAGGAAGATAACCGAATAGGCACCGTGCGTGCAGGTGGCAACATGCAGCGCGAAAAGCTGTGTAAAGGACTGCGCCGGGCTGGTGCCGCAGGCTGGCAAGGCAGCGCCAGGTTCAAGGCCTGAACCGAGTCCCTAAACCCAAACAACCCAGGCACGAAACCCAAACCACAAGATTATGTGAGCCATTGTCTAGACTCCTAGTATCCCCCTCAGTAACCCGTGCAGTAGTCCCCTACATAACCTCCATTCATGGAGCTTAGACAGACAGTAGCTCATATAGGGCATTATAGCCATCACAACTGGTAGCGGTTGTATATATGCTTTACGAGGCCTGTTGACTGGAAGAACAAGCGCAGACGTCCCGGACAAGGTCAACACCAGAAGAGATGGATTGGAAGCTCTCACAGATACGGCCGGGGAACGACAATCGCAAAGAGGCCGGGGTGATGCAAGATTTTAGGGCTAGGTTACCCGAATGAGGGAGAATCAAACGCGGAACTTGCGTTGCGTTCTGTGCTGTGCACCTGTTGCCCTTGCAGGTGAGCATCAAGTGCAGCTGCTGGTCTTGGACCGATAGCTGCCAATTACGTCAAAACGCGCAAAATTTCCAAAATTGAAATATGATCGGGATATCCCAACAAGGAATTAGATGAAATCAAATCGAAATTAACGATATATAACAGATAAGACTTTGAAGACAGATAATAATGATATAAGATTATCAGAAGGAAAGAGTATCGGAAATATTCTGATGACAATTTATTTACTCTATAAAACGTTGCGGGCTTCCTCCGTCTTCCATTAGCGCACGTTTTCCCAGACCGGTCTTCCCGAATATCCCGGATTTTTTGGGTGATCGGTCCCTACTAAACATGATAAGCTTATGAGACGTCCCCCTCTTCGTAGAGTGCCCGGACCAGTTTCCAAAATATCTCGGATATTTCGGAGATCGTTTTTTCTAAAATATCCGGGACAATTTCGTAGGCCGCGACTCTCGAAATATCCCGGATATTTTGGCAGACCGGTCCCGACTAAGCATGAAGCAGCCGTATCTTCCGTAGAAATCATCTACTAGCCACCCGTATATCTGGTAGCCAGCCGTATATTGCTAGCTCGGCGTGAATTAACAAATTTACGTGGCGGGGGCAGTGGCGGTGGCGGGGGTGCGGCGGTGGCGGCGGTGGTGGCGGCGGTGGCGGTGGCATGGCGATCGGTAGTGGCGATGGAGGTGGCGGTCGGGAGCGGTGGCAGTAGGTGGTGGGTGGCGGTCGGTTGGGGTAGGTTGCGGTGCCGCGGCGAGGCGGCGGAGCGGCGGGACGATACGCAGATTTTCGGTAGGAACTACAGTCGGACCCTGAAGTCGTAACAATTTTACGGTTTTGCTTGCCCACAGTACGGAAATAGAAAATGGAGAGTCGTAATACTCAGCGGTCTCATTTGAGATTTGAGATTCTTGGTTATCATTCAAATTTGAGTTTATATGCTCGCACTGATTGATTTCAGATTCTCATAGCCATTTTGGCCAAACAAGTTAAGTGCTGGAATCGACGTTTGATTCCCTGGGCCGGAATTTCGTTGAATCGTAGTATAAATTTAGTACTGGAATCGACGTTTCCGTGAGCCGGTCGGAATTTCGTTGAATTGTCTTGTCGTACAAATTTAGTACTGGAATCGACGTTTCCGTGAGCCGTCCGGAATTTCGTTGAATCGTAATCTAAATTTAGTATTGGAATCGACGTTTCCGTGAATCGGCCGGAATTTCGTTGAATCGTAGTACAAGTTTAGTACTGGAAT